CTTAGGCTATAATACCTGGGTAACCAAAGTTAGACACATCCTGTTTCAATATGGATTTGGTTATGCTTGGCTAAGCCAAGAAATTGGAAATGTGGAATATTCTGTGTATCTATTCAAGCTAAGGCTAGGTGATAACTTAAAACAGTCTTGGTTCTCATCAATTAGTGAATCTCCTAAATGAATATTTTACAAGGAGTTCAAAACTTTGTTAAATGTTGAAAGCTATTTGTGTTGTGATATCCCTGTGCATAGAAGAATTGCTATATCAAGGGTTAGATGCAGTAATTTAATACGGCTGTTGAATGTGGCAGGTATAATGGAATTGAATATAACGAAGGGCTATGTCCTTTTTGTAAAACCAGAGGTCAGCAATATATAGAAAATGAATATCATGTACTATATATTTGTAATGCCTATGATATACCTAGAAAGAAATATATAACAAAGTTCACTAAAGAACCACTTACTCATTACTCTGTCGTAACTCTTTTGCAAAGCAAAAATAATGCTGTCATATACAGTTTTGGCCTATACTTATACCATGTACATAAAACTGAACTGCAGGACATAGAGCTGCAAAGTTGTATTGCGCACCCACTAAACACAATGTCAGTCTGATTGTATTATGGGCGAGGGCCTCTTTCCTGAATATATACAGTCTGTCTGTCTGTATTACAGATAAGATTATGTTGTGGTAACAAAGTTACATTCAAATTGTTACATTGTCAAAAGATGTCATTATTGATTCTGTTGAATAATGTTACTGTTACAAAAGTTTTATGACAAATGCTCAAAACAAACTTGTTAATATAAATTAATAAATGTGATTACAGCTAAATCTGTAATATTTCATCGACTGTATATTTTTTAATACACAGATCTTTTACAATTTTATAGATATCAATGTTTTGAAATATACACAGGTAGTAAAAATGCTCAGAATTATGATATGCTGGAATTGTTAATCATTCCCTTTAAACAATGCCAGAATTTCTCACAAGCAGTGAACTAGATCAATATTGCATGGTTTTGTTTCTAAATGATTAATAATAATACACAAAGTGTTATGAACAGAGAACATGTTTGATGTATATATGAAATATATACCTCACATTATATGTTTATCAATTAAACAATGAAAGAAGTTGATCTTGTTGTGTTTTTCTGAATGCATTAAACGTGATATGATTTCATCTAGCTTGATGTTAAGAATAATGCTGTTTTTTTTGGTAATTGAAATAATCAGCGAAATGACTTCTAACATAGTAGTACAGAAACTATGAAAGAAGCTAATCAAAGAAGAATTTATCTGCCTTGTCTTTCACCCTTTGCCAGCTCTCAGGACAAAAGTCAATTCTCTCGAGATGGTGTTACCTTTCAGACCAGACAAAGAAATCACACCATTTCAAACCAGTCATTGCCAGTTGCATCTGGATCTGATGATAGTAGTTACTTTATTTAATGAATTCCTCGAAACATCGTTACTTTGCTCTTTGACAATGTTATTGTGGACCCGCTGCCGAAGCAGGTGTCTGAGAATCGTTGTTTACAATAACATTGCGAAAAATAGTTAATAAATTTAATTCTGCTGATAATATATGATAAATTGAAATTTAATAAGTGTTTTCAGACATTGTGAAATGTGATAGAATCTGTGTACTTCGGACTACTGAATAATTTGGACTTTTTAGTCGGTCCAAAGCTGGTCCGAATTAGACAGAGTGCACTGTACATGTTGCCTTAAGAGCAAGCTGGCCATTGTCCTTCAGGCTGAGGTACTGCAGATCACGGAGGTCCTTATTCCGCAGGTCTGGACACTTCACCTCCAGTAGACCAAATGGAGGGTTGGAGCTGGGGTCTAGCACCTTCCGGTCTGGAGAAGCAGCCATCCATGCTGCTCTGGGACTTATTACAATCCCACAGGGATATATATTCACGTTGCCCTCCTTTAGCTGAAATATCAACATACAATTTTAAATATAGGCACATGTGTACACTTCTTTATATTTATTATATATGTTGAGATTACTCTCCTTAATCCAAAATATTAACGTTCAATTTTAATTACATATACACATGTACATTTATTCAGTTGATCCATTTACACATATGACTTCATCAATCTGAAATGTTTACCTTCCCATATGCCTCTACTGCAAAAGGCTCATTGGCAATGCCCTCTCTCATTGCCTCTGTGAGGACGGTCCTAGAAGAAGATTTCAGTCTTTCTGCAAACTTCTCTGGTTCTGAAATTTTATTATTATTTTTTTTTAATGTAATGGATTTGGGTGCAACATTTTCTTTTAATGAAATTAATGACATAAAACTTAATGTTAATTAGGTTTATTTTCTGTTTACCTTTTTTAAGCTTTGAAATTTCTCCAAGTTTAGATGCTGTGACCCTGTGACGTCTCAGACGAACCCACTTCTTGTCCTGCGCCTGGAGTCTGGTAGCCTTCTCTATCTCCACAGCCTCATCCTGGCTGACACTGAGTGAGTCTAGCAGAGTTGTCTGACTCTCTGTCAGCACCCTGCTGTAGTTGTTCTCTCCTGTCTGCTCAGCACTAATGGGTAAATCAGGATAAAATCCATCTACAATGTTTATCAGATAATTTCCAGATAATTTCTGTTGATGGCTGATGGTACTACCCTTAGGAAACAATCCAAAATTAGTTTTTACAAAAGGTGGTGCTGGCTCATCAGTCTGTGGAACTGTTGTTAATAGTGATAGATCAGGAGGATTTAACTTCAGAGATGAAAAAATGGTTCCAATGGTGCAAGGGGGTAGACCTAATGGGGTTGTAAAGGGTTGATTTCACTGGCCTGTCCTCTCCATCACTCTTGTATCCAGAAACCTTTATCTCCGGTACTGACATACCGGATATTTTGTCTTGGCGAGGGATGTGCCATGTCTGTAGCAATATCCTGTGGGGTGGACTTCATTCCTCTCTGTTTACAGTGGGCCACCAGATATAAAACACCTGTGTAAGAAAAACATATTTTCAGGAACAACGAAATCAGATACTCAGTTTAATATATACAGACATTACTTATTATTCATTGAAATAGGCTAATGACATACCTGTCACATGACCATAACACTGGCTCTGACCTATGGCACAGCTGCAGCTGGCGCTGACCACTTTAACCACTGGACTGCTCTCTAAGGTGACCTGCATTTCATAGTACATGTACTTTAGTGGAATGAATGTACTAGGCTATCACAATTTAACATAAATGAGATATTTTACAAAATATGTGTTCCTATATTATATATACATACATAATATATATATATATATATATAATCTATATATATTCTGATATCAGACTGATAATATTTTTTTCTTGACAATACTATGAACCCAACTTACAGTTATATTATGTGGCGAGTCATTTTTCTTCATGGAACGGTAAAAACGAGCTGTTATTACGCAAGATGTGTCATCACATGATGCTGCCAAAAAAACCGATTACAGGTGAAAAAATATACAAGACAAGGGAATAATATTACACGAAATAACATCATTTGAATTTTACATAGATCTAATAACTATCTGACGGTTACGGCCTAGGTTATTGACATGATGGAACTTAGGTTAAAGTAGTTCAAAAAACAGCTTTTCAGTTGCACTTCATAATAATTAACGTATGTCCCGTAATTTTCAGCGTGAAGTCAATATGATAACATGTCAAGAGGAAAATAAGTCCTACTTCAATCATAAATCAGCAATGACATAATGACATTGACAGCCAGTAAGATCGTTACTGTACCATTTACAACATTGGAAATTGATGAATGAAACTTACTTCGCAAATTAAAAAATGAACCCTTCACTATAATATTTGAAGCCTTTGTTCAGTTGGGAAGTCCCGGCACTTCTGCTATTCATCTGTATATAAGTCTCCACGAAGGAAAATGTGAGAGACGGGAACGCCGTCAGATCGCTTCCGGATTTCGTCGCCATCACGATTCGCTGATTACGCGGGTATGACCTCGTTTTGATATTGGTCAAAGGTCACATGCATAAATATTAAGAGTGGCCTATACAACCCTTTTCCAGAATGCTGTATCCAACACTGTCCGTTCAATTTGTTTGCGCCGTTTCGTTTGCCCCCAAAAGCCTGGCGTTTTGGGTTGTTTTACCTCTTGTCTTGATCTACGCAATTTGGATACGATGACATGGGTCAAACAAGTCAGCGAACCTGACCACTCGATCCCGTTAGTCGCCTGAAGTAAGAGTGGTCAGGTTCGCTGACTTATGGGCTTAAGATCTTCTGCTGCGAACGTTTCGACAATCTAGGCCCTGGATCCTTTTTTCTTGGGCATTACCTTTGTGAAACATTATTTATCCTGTACACTTGTAAGATATATGTCAGATTGTAACCAGCTAAGAAGATTATATCAATGAGATCTAAGCAGGCTGTTAGTCGTCCATCAGCATTTAGAAAAAGCAGAAAGGATAGGCAAGCAAAGGGTGAGCCGACAGACAGCGGGAAGAGCGCAGTTCTACTATGAGAATAAAAACACCCATTCTTTGTCCGAAATTAAATCTCATGTTGTTACTCGTACGTACTATTTTCATACAAGCAAAATGGGAAAAATCTCTAATTCGAAAGATTTTTCGTTCCGAACTATTTGACCAGTAACATATCGTCTGGATGAACTGGGTACCCACTTTGTATGCGCTTGGTACAATGTGTGAAGACCATTTCTGATGTCTCCCGCCGTGATATTGCTGGAATATTGCTGGACTAACCATACTCGCTCACTCACTAACGGGATCGGGTGGTCAGACTCGCTGACTTGATTGACAATTGTCCTCATATGTCCATTGCGTAGATCGATGCTCATGATGTCAATCACTGGATTATCTAGACCAGGCACAATTATTTACAGACCACCGCCATATTCGAATGCTTACCGTTTTGTAAAGAACCGCAGATTAAATTAAGCCATGTTCTGTTTTTTTTGCTTACCTACTCTGGTAAACCAGTATAAAAGACAATGAGACTATGTTATCGTCCTATTTAATCTGGCTCGGGAAACAGGTAAGTCTCCATGGTATTGCAGGGAGCCACGTGGTATGTGGGATCCATATGGACTATGCATCTTATACACCCATGGGGAAAGATCGTCTTTTATTATTATTATCATGCATGTTCATATTACCTCGAGTATTAATGGGGCCATGGGATAGCCTTGTGGTCATAATATTCGTATGTCTTCCCTGCGAAATGATTTCAGACTCAAAACGACATCTTTTTGCTCACGTTGACAAACATTCGCCTTATTTATGTGACTATTTGCACAGCAAGTAAACTGACTTATTGATATCTTCATGTGAATGTATTGCATTGTATTGCATGCTTCTCGGAAAAGGCGACGAACGGGATCGGGTGATCAGTCTCGCTGACTTGGTTGACACGTGTCATCGTATCCCAATTGCATAGATCGATGCACATGCTGTTGCTCACTGGATTGTCTGGTCAAGACTCGATTATTTACAGAGCGCCGCCAGGTAGCTGGAATATTGCTGAGGACGGCTTTAAGCAACAGACCAACCAACCAAATCAAATTGACTCGTATTTAAATACTACACGGACTGGGGGTTAAGGCGTTTGTTAAAATAACCAAAACGACAAATGTTTGTGTTTTCATAATAGCAGCGAAAAGCTGCAAAATTGCTGATGCGTCGTTAAACAATATTCACTCATCACATATCTTATTTTCATAGGTTAGAGGGAGTTGCTGGAATATGAACTTCCAGAAGGGACAGATCTTTTTATCGAGAGAAATTCGTTAATGTGGATTGTGCGCAACAAATACAGAAAACCCGTCTAGTCCAGACTCCGTCTAATTGTAAACCCTCTTTTCCGGGCGGGGGCGATGGGGTAGCCTAGTGGTTGAAGCGTTTGCTCGTCACACCGAAGGTCCGGGTTCGATTCCCACACATGGGTACAGTGTGTGTATGGTGTCCCCGCCGTGATATTGCTGGAATATTGCTAAAAGCGGCTTAAAACCATACTCACTCACTCACGTTTCCGGGCGATTACTGTTACAAACGCTGATGAACACACAGATAAATAGGACAGTACTAAGGACTGACTGACTGACTGAGTGAGTTTTGGTTTTACGCCGCTTTTATACAATATTCCAGCAACATCACGGCAGGAGACACCAGAAATGGAGCTTCACACATTGTGCCCATGTGGGATTCGAACCCGGGTCTTCGGCGTGACGAGCCAACGCTTTAACCATTAGGCTACCCCACCGCCCCCAGTACTAAGGATGGGTTAATCAGCACCTTTGTTAATCCGGACAATTCCACTTCCAGTACCGTCTGGATTGACGAGGTCTCACCATATGTTTATGCATATATTGGTTCTGAATTCCAGATAATCAACAATGGGTCCGCTGTCGTTCTGTGCAGTTGCTGTTATGTTGGGGTATGGCAAAGTTCAGTTCTCAACTTAGTAATAATTGCCACTATGCTTGTAATTTTACATAAGAATATACATAAATTGCAAAGTGCGTATATTCAACTATTGTTTAAATGTTTTCGTGTTTGTTTTCAGAACATTTATCGGTGCCCTTTAAACGTTCTGGGTTTTGTCATGTATGATAACTAAAATGCTCAAGTTAATACGAATAAAGAAATGTAGTTTGTATAGAAATTAAATATACTAACGAAAAAAAGTAACTGTGCATAAAAAATGCATAAAATAAAATTATTTGAAAAGTTAGAAAAGTAACCATAAAAAACATGAAGTAACGCACTTGGCTCGAAGTTCGATGCGTGACACTTACTTCAATCATTTCTTATCACAGCAAGCCACATTTGCAACACACTGTACATCAACCACTTCAATTGTATAAACTCAAATAGACCTCATGTATATATTTCTCCCTGTGCATAATGTTGTGTGTCATTTGCTTGATAACGGTGTTAGGATCTGCACCGAAACGTCGCTCCACTGCGATAAAGAAGTTGTCTATCCCTTAAAAGTGTTTCTCTTCGTAGTTACAGTATGTCTGTTAATGACGGATTCGTTGTTGATTGATTTATCTATTAGTCATGTAATATTCACCGCTGTAGCAATATTCCAGCACAGATATTGTATGAGATATTTCTTACTAATAAGCATTGCTTTTGACATTTTGCCAAACTTTCACATTAGTACCATTCCGATTTATATTAATCAGGATTCCGAGTTAACTGGAATCATCTGAAATATCTCCTTATCTTGCTAGAACTGGTCTTCAATAACCCATGCTTGTCGTAAGAGGCGACTAACGGGATCGGGTGGTCAGGCTCGCAGACTTGGTTGACACATGTCATCGTATCATAATTGCGTAGATCGATGCTCATGCTGTTGATGACTGGATGGTCTGGTCCACACTCGATTATTTACAGATTTCCGCCATAGCTGGAATATTACTGCGTGGGGCGTAAAGGTAAACTCACTCACTCACTCATTCCTTCTCTTGAAGCGTTGCCTTCTCCCAGACCGACATTGCTACAACCGTCTTTCACCAAATCGATGCTGGCAAAAATAACTTTTTGACACTGGCCAACTTTAATGCTTACTACAATCAGTTCGACATTGATTGTGGGTACACAAACATTCACAACATCTAACTGTGATAGTCTCACATGTGTGATACGTTTTTCAAACAGTCTGTCTGTCTTGGTGTGTCTGTGTGTTCGGGTGTGCGTGTGTATATGTGACAAGGTGTGCGTGTGTCTGTGTGTTAAGGTGTGCAAGTGTATGTGTGTGAAGGTGTGCGTGTGTCTGTGTGTGCGTGTGTATGAAGGTGTGCATGTATCTTTGTGTGAAGGTCTGCGTGTGTGAAGGTGTGCGTGTGTCTGTGTGTTTGGGTGTGCGTGTGTATGTGAGTGAAGGTGTGCATGTGTCTGTGTAAAGGTGTGCGTGTATCTGTGTGTCTAGGTGTGCGTGTGTATGTGTGTCAAGGTGTGTATGCGCGTGTGCATGTGCGTTTGGGTGTGCGTGTGTATGTGAGTGAAGGAAGTGCATGTGTATGTGTGTGACGGGTGTGCGTGTATCTGTGTGTATGGGTGTGCGGGTGTGCATGTGTATGTGTGTGAAGGTGTACGTGTGTGGAGGTGTGCATTTGTCTGTGTGTTTGGGTGTGCGAGTGTCTGTGTGTGAAGGTGTGCGTGTGTCTGTGTTTGGGTGTGCATGTGCCTGTGTGTGAAGGTGTGGGTGTGTCAGTGAGTTTAGGTGTGCGAGTTTCTGTGTTTAGGTGTGCGTGTGTCTGGGTGTACAAGTCACTGTGTGTGAAGGTGTGCGAGTGTATGTGTGTGCGTGTGTCTGTGTGCTTGGCTGTGCGAGTGTCTGTCTGTGTGAAGGTGTGTGTGTCTGTGTGTTTAGGTGTGCGTGTGTATGTGTTTGAAGAATTGCAAGTGTCTGTGTATTTGGGTGTGGGAGTGTTTGTGTGTCAAGGTGTGCATGTGTCCAGGTGTACCTGTGTCTGTGTGTCCAGGTATGCATGTGTCCGTGTGTCTGTGTGAAAGTGGTGGCGTGTCTGTGTGTCAAAGTCTGCGTGGATTTGGGTTTGCGTGTGCATGTGTGTCAAGGTGTGCGTGTGTCTGTGTGTTTAGGTGTGCGTGTGTATGTGTGTTCGGGTGTGCGTGTGTCCAGATGTACCTGTGTCTGTGTGTCCAGGTATGCGTGTCTGTCTGTAGATGTCCGTGTGTCTGTGTGAAAGTGGTCGCGTGTCTGTGTGTATAGGTGTGCATGTGTCTTTCTGTCCCAATTTCATCTGTCCTTGCCGTATATAGCTAAGATATTTCTGAGAGCTTAAACAAAGATACAAGTTTGGTTTGGTTGTTGTTTAAAGCCGCACTCAGCAATATTCCAGGTATATGACAGCGGTCTGTAAATACTCGAATCTGGACCAGACAATACAGTGATCAACAGCAAGAGCATCGTTCTACGCAATTGGGACACAATGACATGTGTCAACCAAGTCAGCGAGCCTGACCACCCGATCCCGTTAGTCGCCTCTTCCGAAAAGCATGGGTTACTGAATGCCAATCCAAACCCGGATCTTCACGGGTCAAAGAAACAAGTACGCACGTCCTACCATCAAAGGGTCCCCCTTGTTTGTCCCAAGCATCCTAGACGTGGATTCTTGTTCTTAATATCAATCACTGGATTGTCTGCTCATGAACTCCGCCACTGAGATGGAATATTGCTGGGAATATTAACCAGGGAACAATAATAACTGAAACCAAGATAAAACCCCAATCGTTCATGTACATAACGTTTTGTCTTCGTGACTCTTGCGTTAATTCATCAAATTCTGCTAAAACAATATTCTCACTCACCTATTCCGTGTTGAAGGCGATGGTTCAATCACCAAGCAGGACTACTATAAACTAGACACCAACCACGCCCACGCTGATAAGCAGCTTTGTTCTGTATGATGTTGATAAAGACGGGCAATCACTTGAACCTGTGAAGGATGTGGGCAAATAGATGGTGAGGCAAGTTTAATAGATAGATAGATAGGATAGATAGAGTATACTAGATAGATAGATAGATTAATTAATAGATAGATAGATAGATAGATAGATAGATTGACTGACACAGACAGTGAGTAAAGCCGTGCTATTTAATGGATAGACAGATAGATAGATAGATAGATAGATAGATAGATAGATAGATAGATAGATTTCCTCCCACGTCAAACTGACTCGCTGTTTCGTTTTGTCGTCATGAACTCGTCATGAAGGCTTGATACACGGTAACCACAAGGCGAGATTAACGTTACGATTCTTGTCACTAGTGCCTATTTCACTAGTGGTTAGTTATTTATTATATAAAGGTTTTGCGTCTCGAGATCTCCCAGTCCCGAACACCAGTTTGCATATTTGATGGGATATGCAAATTAACGCAGTTGCGATGTTTGTGGTAGCCAATGGATGCAGGATGCTCGTAATTGGATGGATATATAATGCCCTTGACAATCTAGGATGTTGGATTACAATGTGTTTGGATTCAATTTCAGGTGATGGTAAAGTAACACTGTCCGAATTCGCAGCGAAGTACTCCAGGGTAAGAACGCTGAGCTGACTTGTACCCCTGTCACTTGAGACCCCTGAAGATCCGGGTTCAAATTGGTCTTCAGTACCCCATGGTTGTCTCTCCTCATGAAGATCCGGGTTCAAATTGGTCTTCAGTACCCCATGGTTGTCTCCCCTCATGAAGATCCGGGTTCAAATTGGTCTTCAGTACCCCATGGTTGTCTCCCCTCATGAAGATCCGGGTTCAAATTGGTCTTCAGTACCCCATGGTTGTCTCCCCTCATGAAGATCCAGGTTCAAATTGGTCTTCAGTACCCCATGGTTGTCTCCCCTCATGAAGATCCGGGTTCAAATTGGTCTTCAGTACCCCATGGTTGTCTCCCCTCATGAAGATCCGGGTTCAAATTGGTCTTCAGTACCCCATGGTTGTCTCCCCTCATGAAGATCCGGGTTCAAATTCAAATTGGTCTTCAGTACCCCATAGTTGTCTCCCCACATGAAGATCCGGGTTCAAATTGGTCTTCAGTACCCCATGGTTGTCTCCCCTCATGAAGATCCGGGTTCAAATTGGTCTTCAGTATCCCATGGTTGTCTACCCCCTCATGAAGATCCGTTCAAATTGGTTCAAATTGGTCTTCAGAACCCCATGGTTGTCTCCCCTCATGAAGATCCGGGTTAAACATCATGAGCATCGATCATTGGGATACGATGTCATGTGTCAAGCAAGTCTTACGACAAGCATGGGTTACTGAAGGCCAATATTCTAACCCGGACCTTCACGGGTCAACTTACATAAGAAACACACTTACATTTAAATTAGTGAGTGAGTATGGTGTTACGCCGCTTTAGCAATATTCCAGCAATATCACAGCAAGGGACACCAAAATGGACTTCTGGTGACATTGTACCCTTGTGGAGAATCGAACCGGAATCTTTGGTGTGACGGAATCTTCGGTGTGACGAGGAACGCTTTAACCACTAGACTACCCAACCGCCCCCTTTACATTTACATTCAGACTATGCAAACATGAGTGAATATATTTATGGAGTACATGCGTCATATAGACGTACTTGCATGTGAGTGTATAGAATAATTTAGGGCTTGCTAAAATAATCGATAATCAGAGATATCTTCGATAGGAAAAATATTGATTATCAATATGAAAATTGTGTAATCGATAACATCGTACATTAACTTTTTGTGATAGAAAAAAAAGCTTGCAATTTTCTCACATAATATACAAATTTAGGACGGTATTCATAGTTTGCTTCTAAATTCATGTTCAGGACACTATTTTGTTAATAATCCTTGCATAAACATGTCACAACTCACCAGTGATGTGAAATATACTCATTTCCTTCAGACAGTTTTGCATTTTGCTCAAGATTTCTGATATTTGTCGATAATCGGTCTATATTTAGTCTACTGTTATCGATCTCTATGATCGATAGCGATAACCAGCCCAAGCATAGATACTGCGATAATATTACTTGCTATAGATATTTCAGGTATATGTATGCTTTGGGAGTAGTTCCATGAGAACAAAGTGAAAGTATTTTTTAGCAAAGAGATGTGATAAATTAACACATTTTACCATGGCTACGTGAAATGCTCGAATTTGATTGGTCAATCCATAAAATCAGACGGTATCAATTTGATTGAAAATGCGTCTGATTTCACGGCGCTTCACTGCGCACGTATACAACACTGCCGCACTACTTCAGCTTGGCCACCAAACATGACTAATATCAGCACAACAGACGTGATGGAAATGCTGATGAAACATTTATTAAAACTCGAAAAATACAATTATTAGGAACCTCACTATCATAATTATTACCGTCTATTATAAAAACTTTCAAACTCAATTACAATCATTCTCTTCCCACAGAGGTTACTCCTGTCATATCTTCCTACGTAACCTCTGTTCTAATACGGCCCTTTCGTGGTGTGAGCGTTCAAGACTCGTGATTGGAGACAATCAGATTTAGTTGTGCAATCAGCGACGTTGTTTCAAAAGTGACCATTCGCATGGCCTCGGTAATTTCCGTGTACTTCGAAAAACTAAACCACTTCCTCTGCGCGATGCGCAAACGTTTCTTCTAGACAGAACTCAGTCATGTTATGGCGGATCAGTGGCGTCTCCATCGCCCTCGTTGACAACGGACAAGCTAGCCATTAAACGTCTTGTGTGTAACATCAACACAAGTCCCCGGCAGTTGGGGGATATTTGTGGCCTCACATTTTCTTGTGTTAGTCAAGTTGAATCTAAGTCGATGTAACACGTGTTCTGATTGGATAGAAAGAAGGGAGATAATTCGTGTTGCGATCTTTTGCCGCTAGGGGATCTTTACGAGAAACGGGAAATATGGGCCGTAGTAGAACAGAGGTTACGCAGGAAGATATGACAGGAGTTACCTCTGTGGGAAGAGAATGAATTACAATATACACAGCCCCAAACATAAACAAATGGTAGAATGGTAAATTCGCAAGATAACGGTCAGGGAAGTGAACACACAATTTGCCACTCATACTCCATCTTGTCCCGTTGCATCGTTCAAAATGTCAAAAATTGAACCTTGAGAATTCCGCTCTGCCACCTGCCCCGCAAGGCTGTCACTGCTATGTTCGTACACTTTGAAAAGCTTGGCCCCAAATCCAGTCCCAAATGAGAACAATGTTCCAAGGAATCCTAAGTTAGTCGCATGTACACACAAAGCAGACTGTCACTCTTTCGTCGCATGCCGGGGTGGAGGCACGTACGTGAAATCATGATCGACACTCGCCGGTCATAAAACTCAACAGTTTTTGATGAGTTACAGGTCATAGGTCGATCAGAAAAGGATGTATTCTTCGATTCTGCAGGGTTCAGGTTCGACAGTCAGTCAAGTATTTTCCACTGTCACTTCGAATTTCAACCTTTCGCAAAACGTAAACACTGGCTTGTCTGCCATTTCAAACTGTTGCGTAACTGTCTACTTCCAAGAAAATAAGTAGGTCAGACGATTCCATTATAGTGTGGCCAGGGGGTACAGTAACACGGCACACAAAACAATAGGCTGGTTTCGGTCGTGTGGAGTTATGATTATAAAACCAAGCTCTTAGGTGTTACATTATTGCATTGAATAAACAGTAGTTTGTTTTCTTTGGACAGAATACTTTGTATGTGCAATGTTAAAAAATACGAACGGAACCTACCACTCCCTTCACAGACTAGTTCAATTCGCCTCTCGTCCCATGTGGGATTACGCAGTGTCTTCCGCGGGACGAGGAAGTTCGATGTTAAATCGGTTATGGTAGAATGGAGATAAACATACTGTGTTTGGAAATTAGATGAATGTAGCATTCATCTAATTTCCAAACACAGTACGTTTATCTCCTAAATAACACACTATGTATCATCACGTGACATTACTGTTGAGATCATTCTGCGGGGGCATCCTGACCTGCACTGATTTCGGGAAGCCGAGCATCCGATATATCTGCGATCTCGTTAGAGATGAATTACAACCACAATCTGCAAGATCTCACGCACTGAGTGTTGAACTACAGGTGAATGTTTCATAATTATTACATCGTTATTAATATCTCAGAAATGTTAATTTGGTTCAAAAACATCATACTGTTCATAGCGTCATATTCCAGCCTCCATGGACAACCCAGTTTTGCGTATAATTGCACACTACCATGCGTGCTGGTACAGACACATCTGTTAACATATTACCAAGTATATAAAAAACTAACCTTGTGAATATAATTCACGACTGGAACTCTTGTAAAAGCATGGACCAGTTTCACTTCATACCAGAAAGGATATGCTTTCAGTCAGCCACGATGAATGTAACAAAGGGAGTCACTCTAAAGACGTGAAGTAAATGAATCGTGAACACTTTTGCGTGTTCGATCCCAACCTTGAGACGTTGTTATTATTATTGAATCATACACGTAGCCATAATTACCACTTTACTTACTGAAACGCAGCGAAATAGTTAATAACGTTGGTATCAGTTTTCTAGAAATATCTAATTTTTTGGTGAAGCGTGTCATAAGCCTCTGTTTAACCATTTTATCAGGTTCTGGTGACCCTACGCTTCTTTGCAAGTGGAAGTTTCCCTCAAATCACTGGCGACACAATAGGGATAGACAAATCAACAGCTTCACGAGTTGTTAGGAAGGTTTCACTTGCCACGGCGTCTCTCATTCCAAGATTTGTTACCTGGCCGTCCGAGAGTGCTTCGGGAGACATAAGAAAGGAATTCTACAGTCTATCTAGATTTCCTGGAGTCATTGGATGCATCGACGGGACACATGTTCGGATACAGGCACCATCAGACAACGAACCTGCCTATGTCAATTCTATCAATGTTCAAACGGTGTGTGACAGCCAAGATGCGTTAGTGAGACCATCGTAAGACCAGCGCATTTCATATAAATGTCTTTCCGGCATTATAATAAAGAAATGCGTTTCGAACATGACACCATTTACAATGTTGATCGAAGTAAGTGTCTTAAAACAACATCATGATGATAAGCCTTCTGCATTTGCTTTTTAAGGCCGAGCTCAGCAATTTTCTAGCTATTTCACAGTGGTTGCTATATGCACTTGGTGCAGTGATTTTGTGTATTTGTACAGGTAAATTTACTAACCTAGTGGCGAGATGACAAGGCAGCACGCATGACAGCCACGTGTTCAAGATGAGCAATGTGCGGCAACACCTTGACACTCATCATACCACTCCATACAGGATGGTGTTATTCTGCGACAGTGGATACGCATGTCGTCCGTATTTGATGACGCCGTATCTAAAGGCATCTACTCCCGAGCAAGAGCGCTTCAACTCTTCACATAAACGAACACGGTCAACTATAGAACGGGCATTTGGGTGGCTCAAGAGGCGTTTCCATGTTCTCCACGGAGAAATCAGGATGCGCCCAGAGAGAGTTTGCTCCATCGTTGGTTAGTATACTTACTACAAACAAAATTATAAAATAAAGTGAATAAAGAAATTAAATACTGATAAAATATTTGGTTTTAAAGCCTATTAATAGGCCTAGACAGCTGAAACAGTGCAGCTTTAAGAAGAATCTCATTATATTTGACGGGTGCTTGTGTCGTGTTGCACAATCTTGCGATAATTCTTCGTGAACCCATGCTGGATGTTGATGCTGAGGACGACAGTACCATAGAAGGGCAGTACACAGGTCCTGAAGATGGTCGAAGCATCCGCGATTACATCACAAGACACTATTTCACTCACTGAAATGTTCAATCTGCCAAAACTGTAATATTACACTGGAGAATGTAGCGTGACTTTATGTTCTATCTGAATAGTATATTCAACTGTGATGGTGATAACATATTTCGCAAGTGCCCACAAACTTACAATTAGAGAAAATGTTTGGACAAAATCTATTGTCTTCAAAAGAATTATCGTACTTCGAGCTTTGTTTACCCTTGTGTTATAATATAGTATAAATATATTTTCCTGTGTGTAGTGCCATTTTCACCTCAGCGGTGTCAACTCATGGTTTTACGAGGCTTTTAGCAATATTCAAGCAATATCACAGCAGGTACTCCGGAAATGGGCTTCACACATTGTACCCATGTGGGAATCAAACCCGGATCTTCGGCGTGACAAGAGGACAATTTAACCATTAAGGTACCCCCCACCGCCCCCATCCTTTAAGAACATCCGACAATCTATATTAGTAAAGTTCAGCTGACAAGATACGATGTAGTTTTTACTGCAAAATAGAGAACATAGTGTAGCAAACTATGGAAATAACTGTTGAAGGAACTGTTTTAATATTTCAAACATGGACTTGTCTTTTCAGTTATCGCTCGTCATGTGATCCAGCTCCAGTCTGAGCTTCTTGTTCATGAGTTCATAGTAGGTTGTCTGCTGCATAATTTTCTTTTTCTGCTCAACCAAGACCTCATACTGAAGTTGGATGAGGTCACCCGCTCTGATCTTCCTTTTGTGGGGACATGCCTGGAAGTATCCGTAGTCGGGATCATAGGCCTGAAGTCAAAGAATATTGTTTTGCATTATTGAATATAAGGAACATACAAGTCTCCGTATGTATGCGCTAAGTCTCTCCGCTGTATATGTGTACGTTAAATGCCACTGTAAACAACTTAAAGGGTAGGTAAATTGAGAAAACTGCTGTGATTAATAAAATTTCCAATTACGACATACTCTTCCATGGTTTTTCTTTCGTCAGGTGTAGGTGTTTCCCTTAGCTGTGAGCTGGAACAGCTGGGCACAGCGGCTTCCTGACTAGGGACATCTTCAAGAGCATGTGCCAGGAGATTTAGGGTTGAAGGGAGCCGATTATTTCTGCGACCGCAGTATCTGTATATAAAGAAAGCTAATTGCTCACTACCTATTGTCACGATAAAAAGTACATACAACATGAACATAGGCGAGAGGTATACACCAACCAACAGTTAAAGGGACACAACTCTGTTGTGTTCGAATAACATAACATAACTATTTTCAAAGATATAGTTATCCCAAATCATGACAAGTGATGAAATCTTGTACGAAAAAACCCACCGAATCTTCCGTCCCAACAGGCCAAATATTTATGATTGTGCAAATGTGTTATGTTCTTTTGAGTTTGGTACCGGAGTTATTATAACTGGCCTCATAACAAAATGAAATTATTTAATTTATAAACTAATGATACGCTAATTGTGATAAAGTTGATGGCATGATTTTTTAAAATCTTAAACCATTGCTGTTTGTGATACATTGTTTCCGGTTATTTTCGCTGTCTTCTTGAGGAACTCTCAAACAGATATGAAAGTGTTACAGAAAACTTTTAATTGAAGATGAAGAATGTTAATGATCTAATGGAGATTTGAACTTAGCGTAGATAGACACAACATGAACTGTATATTATGGTTTGGATTAGGGTAATGAGAGTTGCCCCCTTTTCGTTTCACAATGGCTGCCGTTCGGATAATGAATGAGTGATGACTTAAATTGTAACAGTGCAGTTTTATCACAAGTGGCAGTTTTACTGAATGAGGAGTAACAGAAGGTCGGTTGGTGTTTGTTGTTTGTTTTTTTAACTTATCTTGATAAATGATCATCAAATACTTGCAGTATCAATTGGCGATCGCCATGCTCAATTACATTTACAAGATCATATATTTGCTGTATGATGAAAAGGTAGTGTTAACACTTACAATATATAATGATACTTTATTGAATTCATGCGACATATCCATTGGCGTCACTAAATTATCTGATTCGATCCCCGTGGAGTCAAGTGAAACTGGGACAATCTTTATAAATATCCACTATCTTCTCACTCGTCGTTGATAGTGGGGCAATACAAGAGGTCCTCCCGGTCTTCCTCATGTCCAGCCGTCTGGTGCATATTTGTCCATTTTGTTTTGATTTCCTTTGTTGTTCTCTGGCAGACTCCGAGGGCGTTAATTTTTGCTGTGATGTCTGCCCAGATTGCTTTTCCTTCCGTGGGTAACTGTGCTGCATAGCTTGCTGTTTAATATGGAGATATGTTTCTCAACAAGCTCCGCCAGCAACTGAACTTCAGAGCTGTCGAAATTATTGTTTCTGTTACGAAATTTAGTCGGTAAAGATGCCATTTTGACAGACGACAGGAAGTAACGCGTACTTGTTTACGTTTAGGGAATTGTGGGAAATATTTAGGGGAATCCCCGAAATTAATGACAACATTAACATTAGGACGTCATTAGTGATTGATACGCTAATAAGTGTTTGATACAACCGTTTTTAATGTTGCCATTAACTAATGATACATTAAGGATTTAATGGAAAATAAATAGAGCATTTGTTCTTTGATGTGTTCCCTTATACGTTATATATCAATATGCAGGTAATACCCTTCCACAATAGGGAGACGTCACAGCTAAGGTCTCTTTTTGTGTCTTCTGAAATTATTACATTTCAAAGTTCTATACGCTGCCATATAGCTGGAATATTACGGCGTAAAACTAAACTCACTCACTTACTCACTCACTCAAAGTACTATACGCTGCCATATAGCTGGAATATTGCGGCATAAAACTAAACTCACTCACTCACTCAAAGTACTATACGCTGCCATATAGCTGGAATATTGCGGCGTAAAACTAAACTCACTCACTCACTCACTCAAAGTACTATACGAATGTTAAAGAGAGTGACTGTACTGTTTCTTTTACATGTAGACCGCTTGGTCTTGCGACAAAGCACAGAGGATTCTCCATATGAATGAAGAAGGTCCATATTGCACGTGGTGGTGGTGCGTGGTCCTGTGCTCAATGCTCAGGTCACAAATCAGTGATTGTTCAAAATTGTCTCCTGTTCAATTCAGCATGGAAAATGGGTAAAACCCGGTGGAAAAAAGTCATATGACTATATAACCTTATAGCGCCTAACAGGCAAGCTTGGGCCATCCGGGGTAATAATGTGCTGTATGTCTTGATTGTTAGAGCTATTATTAATACCTAGTGTGGAGTTTGGCGCTATATATATGGACACATTATTATTATTATTACCTCAAGGGCAAACCTAATCACAAAAATACATTTTTCCGCATAATGTTCTTATTTGCACACGCCTCCTTGCTACAAGTTTCCTTTTCGTCACATAATTCCCCTGTTCAAATATTAAAATATCAGAAAATCTCTTCCGAAATATGGAGCGTTGGGCATCGTGAAAACTCATCGATATACTTAGATTATCATCAGTCCAATACAACATGGAAGAGCTTGAAAGAACAAAGTCTAATCCTCAAAAGAACTTTTGATAACGTTAACAAAGAATTCTGAACGCTATAGTGCGAGCGGTTTCTAGTTGTTCCAATTCTTTAAACCTGACAGACCCCAAAGGCCGGTGTAGTACGTTGTTGTTTGTTCTGGTACGTACAGGTGTAATAACCAGTACAAGAGCAATAATTCAAAGCATGTACTCAACTTAGGTAGTGTTACACTCGAACTTCTGCGACTTGCCATGATCGTGCTACATGACCATCGTGATCGTGGTAACTGGCAGGGAGGGTCGCGGTGAGTCGTTCCTTTGATCGCCACTTGCGGTTTACACAAAAAATCATTTGCGACCGAATTGCGATCGAATTTGCATCGTGATAACAGAAAAATTCCCCTGTTTTATTATGACCTGATAATGAGACCGCTCCTCATTGGTCTCTTGGTAGAGATCTCAATCCGGTCTTTAATAGAGTCGCTTCTAGTTTACGAGTTCGACGAGTGCGACGACTTTGCAACCTGTAACGAACAACGAGCCCTGTGGCGATCGTTGTGATCATCCGCGATCACTGCGAGTGTTTGTGATCTTTATGCAACCGAATGGGGAGTCTGTTACGATCAATGGAGACGTAATTGAGAGTGCATTGAGACTTGTTATCTTATTGCGACCACTTTTTGAGACCTCTTTGCGACTGTTTTCGTCGCACAACCTTTGCCGAGTTTTTATAGTCAAAACACTCGCAAAACCCCTTAGGAGACCGATGGAGAGAAACTGGTGACCAAAGAGATCATGTTTGAGACCATGGAGACTGCGTTGAGACTTAATTTACAACCGTACTGCGAGTCTTAGCGAGTGATGGCGAGCAGAGGCCAATTTTCGGTCGTGTTTCAGGAGGCAATGGCATAGGAATCAGTACCCGATGATCCGGGTTAGAATTGATCTTCAACGTCCCATGCTTGTTGTAAGAGGCGACTAACGGATCGGGTGAAATTCAGGCTCCTTTGACTTGGTTGACACATGTCATTGTATCCCAATGCTCATGCTACTGATCACTGGATTGTCTGGTCCAGACTCGATTATTTACAGACCGCCGCCATATAGTTGGAATATAGCTGAGTGCAGCGTTAAACAACAAACAAACGGCATCGGCAATGTCATTCACTGTAACCATCCAATCCACATTTGTCACACATTGGAAGACATTGATAACGGTCTATGATAAAGGATCATACACAATCAGCACAGTGAAAAGGGATAGAGCAACAGTGGACGGTGACAGACAGTAAACCACCGTACCCGATGACTCGAAATACTTTCGTCTACTCTTAGACGTACTGCTCTGGTGAAAATACATTTTACCCCTGAATGTCGAAGTTTAGTAGTGAAACCATGGGGTTAAACAACATCTGGTAGTCGGGATTGGTGGGGTTTTCAGGGATTGGAGTGGCGCAAGAGGTTGGCGCAATTCCTTTATACAACGCCAATTATCTCGAAGTGGAGTGAGTGAGATTGGTTTTACGCCACTTTTAGCAATATTCCAGCAATATCGCAGAAGTGGACACCAGGGTTTCACAACATTGTGCCCATGTGAGGAATCAAACCGGAGGATTCGGCGTTACGAGCGAACTACGAGCCGAACTTTGCCCACTAGGGCTACTCCCACCCCTTCGAAGTGGAGCGAAAAGAAGTTAACTGCTGAGATATAACATGGTTGTATGATATTTCAGAATATATTTCTTGAGTTTAAAACCCAGTGAGGTCAATCAGGTGCCCTTCACGTCGAATCACGAGGGGTGCGGCAGGTTGAAAGCAGCTCTAGAACATTTCTATTTCAAGGAGTTGCAACATATCTACGGCTAAGTAGCCATCTGTGTTTTCCAACCTGCTATCATAAACAAGTTTAATCTGTAATCTACGTGCACCAATCCACCTGGTACCAAGGACCAGCGCTGATAAACGCTGCCCAGTTTGCGATCTACGTTTTCTGACAATCCCACATGAATGAGTCAACCCAACCCAGTTTGTAAACCTTTTACGCAGATGAGTAATTGGCTTGCTTAACGTTTTTCCAAATAGCTATTTTTGTATAATTTACTCCAAGGAACCGTCCATCATCTATGGCTGGTGTGTGTGAAGGAGAGAACTACATGAATCTAAATCCAACTGATCAATCCAAGAGAAGTGTGTAATGGGCAGTGTGAGAGAGAGAGAGAGAGAGAGAGAGAGAGAGAGAGAGAGAGAGAGAGAGAGAGAGAGAGAGAGAGAGAGAGAGAGAGAGAGAGAGAGAGAGAGAGAGAGAGAGAGGGAGAGAGGAGAGAGGGAGGGAGGGAGGGAGGGGAGGGAGGGAGGAAGAATCCAGTCATCAACCATCAACAGCAAGACCACCCGATCCCGTTAGTCACCTCTTACGAGTATGGGTTGCTGAAGATCAATTCTAACCCGGATCTTCACGGGTCGTGTCGTGTCGTGACGAACATATGGAAGGAATAGGGTTTTAGCAATATTCCAGCAATATTACCACAGGGACATCAGAAATGGGTTTCACAGACTGTACCCATATGGGGGTCTTTCGCGTTTTTAGCGAACTCTTCAAAAAGCTGGAATAATGCTGAGTGCTGCGTAAAACTAAACTCACTCACTCACTCTTCACGACACGTGGTTATGACGTAGAAATACTGTAAAGGAGCGTCAAACCTGACTCACATTCGAAACATGATCATCATAATCTGGCACAACTAAGGCCCGCTACTCTTGTGGGGGATCCTTACGAAGGGTAACAACTAAACGAAATTCAAACGATGAAAGTCTTATTTAACGGCAAATCTTCTCTACCTAAAGTGAACATGTTTGTGTAATTAGAGTTAGTTGTATGATGTGGAGTTAGCCGTAATGTAGTAATGTAGATATGTTGGTGCCATTAGAGTAAAGCTTATGAGGTAGAGCTACGTCCCTTAGCAGCGCAAAGATCCCCTGGTCTTGTCACTGAAATAATCTCTCGGCTATGGAACCATCGTTTTGAGAAGCGGAAATTCTCAAATCAGGTAAGAGGGGCGGTGGGGTAGCCTAGTGGTTAAAGCGTTGGCTCGTCACGCCGACGACCCGGGTTCGATTCCCCACATGGGCACAATGTGTTAAGTCCATTTCTGGTGTCCCCCGCCGTGATATTGCTGGAATATTGCTAAAAGCGGCGTAAAACTAAACTCAGTCAGTCAGTCAGTTGCTGTTTGTTGGGGCGGTGGGGTAGCCTAGTGGTTAAAGCGTTGGCTCGTCAGGCCGAAGACCCGGGTTCGTTTCCCCACATGGGTACAATGTGTTTAGCCCCTTTCTGGTGTCCCCCGCCGTGATATTGCTGGAATATTGCTAAAAGCGGCGTTAAACTAAACTCAGTCAGTCAGTCAGTCATATCAGGTAAGGAAATAACACTATAACAGAACATATATAGGTTGTTGAAGCAGCTTTATTCATGAAAGTGACATCTATTTACCAACGGAAACCGGAAGACCGAAGGCCTTATAGTAAAGCTGAAATAATAAGGATTTGTTTCGTTTAGAATTGACGTGTAAAACATACAAATTGTTGCACCTAATGTCGGTAAAACCTAGTGCCATAAATGATAAAAGATATGAACTGAGATACCAATAGGGTGAGTGAGTTTAGATTTACGCCGCACTCAGACATATTCCAGCAATATGGCGGCAGTTTGTAAATAATCGAGTCTGGACCAGACAATCCAGTGATCAACAGCATGAGCATCGATCTGCGCAATTGGGAACCGATGACATGTGGCAACCAAGTCATCGAGCCTGACCACCCGATCCCGTTAGTCCCTCTTACGACAAGCTTTGGTTACTGAAGGCCAATTCTAACCCGGACCTTCACGAGTCAGATACCAATAGGAGCAATCCTTATAACGTAGTGAAGTGAAGCAGTAGTTTTATGCAGCCTTCTACACTATGTCTTCAATGTTGGAGACTTCTCGTGTCCTCTGTCGTGATATAGCTGGAATATTACTGGAAATTGCGCAAAACCTCACTCACTCACAGGGGTAACATCTGTATCCATATATAATGTATGTATACTACCCATCAAAGGTTTAGACTCACGTTAAGCACTCATTATATGTTATGTATATATGCGGTTACATCAAAGAGGGGTGGTGGGGTAGCCTAGTGGTTAAAGCGTTGGCTCGTCACGCCGGATACCCGGGTTCGAATCTCCACATGGGTACAATTTGCAAAGCCATTTCTCGTGTCCCCCGTCGTGATGTTGCTCGAATATTGCTTAAAGCGGCGTCAAACCAGTCAGAACATCAAATATGAATTTCTCAACTAACTTAGGGGAACCATCTACAAACCTCATGCAGATGAACTGCACGAGGATCATGCATCGATTTTCTGAAAAGCATGTGCAAATATCGTGCATGTGAACAGCTGCGTTTTGGTGTTAAGAACGAAGAAGTTTTGTTAAGAATTTGCCAATTTTCACTTAGTTTCATGATTTATTAAACTCGTTTTGGTGTTAAGAACGAAGAAGTTTTGTTAAGAATTCGCCAATTTTCACTACGTTTCATGATTTATTAAACTCATGAAAATAATGTTTGCAACGTTACGAATTTATTTTACAATACATCAGTTCACGTGTAAACAGTACCTTTAACATTATGGAATATTTTGCAAAATCTAGTTTAGAACAGTTGCCTGAGGTAAGTGGCTATATTTACACTAGTGAGTCTAAACTTGTGATGGGTTGTATATGTTCAACATGTTCTGCTACAACAGCTTTCAAGAGAGACAAGAAATATAATAATAATAATCATATAAACATGCATACATACTTCGCTATATTTCTTGATAAATTCTCCCTCCGTGACCTTGCCATCGCCTGCAACAAGAATGTCAAGAATGTCAAGAAGAATGTGCACAGGAGTGGCTTGGCTGTCTTATCTGCACATTGTATTGTATTTGCCAGATAGAGATGTGTCGAAGCAAATCTGTATAATAATTGTTAATGTGAAATATCTGCAGAGCAAATGTGCTAGTGACTATACGCTGATGAAATCTGTGATCATCCGTTTTATTTAGTACAAGATATTGTATACATGCCAAAGAAAATAAAAATTACTTCTGAATGATGCATACATACTATAAGCTATATTATGTTATACTATGATCGTTCAGGAATGGGGCATTGGGGTAGCCTAGTGGTTAAGGAGTTCGCTCTTAACGCTGAGGACCCGGGTTCGATTCCCCACATGGGTACAATGTGTGAAGCCCATTTCTGGTGTCCCCCGCCGTGATATTACTGGAATATTGCTAAAAGCGGAATAAAACAAAACTCACTCACTCGTTCAGAACAAAGCCGACATAACCCGGTACATAGGAAATGTTGTCTGACGACATGCCACATGCTGTTTCAAGACATACCGTCGACGTCGAAGCTGCTAAGGATGACAGGCAATTCTGAAACGTCAACAAAGCCGTCACTGTTGGGGTCGACGAGGGCGAAGAGGGCAGCTGGTCCTTTCCCCGTGCCTCCAATTCCCTTCTGGTATTCAGGCAAGGACACCTTGCCGTCCTCTGGAATGTCAGATTGTAATGTCGTAATCTCGATAACGGACCTACCTTTAGATAGACCTATGTGCAGTCAACCGATTAGAAACTGTGACCGCCCGAACTTCTCTGGGCTCATGACTAACTTAACGAGTAACAGCGCCACAAAACAAAAGAAAACCAAGAAAGAAAAAATAGAGAGTTACACCCCTTCATTCAACGAGTTGGCTCACGAATGATTTGAATAAAGGGAGGTAACTCTCGTGCATTCTTGTTGTGGCACACCGCCCATACACAGTCTTTGAAAGAAATGCACTGGTTCTCTTCTAAGAGCTTCAACCTGTGAACAGTCATCGGAAATGTCTACGTTTACTTCCCTGTTGGTTTCTACGTACTGTTCAGATCGTCCTGGAGGACGACGGCCTTGAATTCGGGGAGGTCGAGAATCTTGTTCTTGTTAGTGTCGATAATTTGCTCGAAGATATTGGTAAAGTTTCTGCAAATGATAAAACCTTCTATATTGTCAACCTCAAACAATAAATTCTTTAATATGAGGGCACCACAGGTTACCTAGTCGTCTAAGGACAGAGAGAGTTATGCCCAGTAGCCGGTCAAAGAATCCGAAGTCGTGGGTTTATATCCCAGATCATTTCTGATGCTACCTGGTTCGTCACCTCCAGATCCATTCTCGTAAGTTACAGCAACTTGTTCACTGCCGCACACTTTTTAATCACTCTATATAACTGATAAAACGGGTACTATAATACATATATCAATTACCAAAAAAATACCTACAATTGAACTGATGTAACTGATGCTAATAATACTCACATCTATTATCAGGAAATGATACCAACAAACAGTGCACAGCGGCATATATCAAACTGTTGTTATTTTCAGTAATATATTGCAAAAATTTAACTGACGTCATGTTTAAGAGATTTTACGTTTGCTGTACGAGTTGTCCAGCACACAGACCGACGAACGCCAAGCAGATGAGAAGAAGCATGGTTGTTTCTGTGAAAAAATTAACATTGAAATATAAAAGCTACACAACATGTTAATAAAAACTACAAAACGTACAGATAAAAAACTACAAAACATGTACAAAATATAAGCTACAAAATACTTTCCATAATGACACATTGTATGTATCAGATTACCTTTTTAAAATGATGCAAGTGCAAAATTTTAACCCGTTTTAAAATGATGCAAGTGCAAAATTTGAATTTACCCCCAAATTGAAAAGGTGAAATCAAGCATTATAGCCAAACATATTGCCAATTTCAATACAACCTTCCTTATACGCGAGCCGCCTCCGTGGTGTAGTGGTTTAAGCGTCCGCCTTGAGAGCGGTATGTCGCGGGTTCGATCACCGACCGCGTCATACCAAAAGACGTTAAAATATGGTACTTGTTGGTCCCTGCCTTGCGCTCGGCATTAATGGGTACAACAAGGACTGGTCGACTCGGAGTCAGTATAGTGTGTCTGAGTGGGGGTATTCATGCTTCACTGCGGCATGGTATCTCAGTGGGCTAGCACTATAAAACCATCTTCAGTCTGGGTTAGTACAAGCAGCCGCACATACACATACACACGCATGCACGTCGTCATATGAGCGAAATATTCTCAAGTACGACGTTAAACCCAATTTCACCTCACCTCACCTCGCAGATAATGAAATAGCATAAGAACCATTTTGGGATCCCAGGGAATATGAAATGATAATAAACATTACTGACCATGTTCTCCCGGCATACCACTAAATTAATAAAAAGGCACGACAGCAAGGGAATAAATACAAGTTGATGATTTTACACATGCACCATATTTTTAAATCCATTTGTCCGATCGTCCTGAGCAAACCAACGTGAGTCGGAGAATTCTTACTGTTCAAATATCACAATGTCACGAAGAGATCTTTTCAAAAACCCAGTAGCTGAAATGGACTTCGTGCAATTCTTAGCTTAGCTTTTAAATATGTTGTGGTTTCACGTTCAGAATGCTCACGTGTTGAAAGAACAAACACTGATCCTAATTCACGTAAAAACTTGTTCTGATAACGTTCGTGAAGATTTTAAACAATTCTTAAATTTGCATTCTTCTGGGTCTGATAATGTCTATCACACCTTGTTCCTTGATGGGGCGGTGGGGTAGCCTAATGGTTAAAGCGTTGGCTCATCACGCCGAAGACCCGGGTTCGAATCACATGGGCATTTCAATGTGAAGCCCATTTCGATGTCCCCGCCGTGATGTTGCTGGAATATTGCTAAAGCGGCGTAAAACCAAACTCAGTCAGTCCCTGTTCCTTGGTGTACAAGCGCAGGTGTGATTTCTGATCGAGTGAATAACGTAATCCGTCTGTCGGGTCTGACGATTATTTAAAACAGCCGCAATATATCCAAGATATTTTATGGATTAGACTTCTTTTAAATTTCTCTCACGACGTTTCATGTAGGGCTGGGACGGTAGGAAATAATGGAATCGAGTACCCGCATGTATTTACCCGAATCGGAATCGAGTAATTGAAATGTAGGGAATAACAGCGCTTCTGTCAACTGTCTGAATATTCAATCACGAGTTTGACAGAGATTATTATAGAAAACTCGAAAAGATGGCAATTAGACATCTGCTTAACCAATATAGAGAGTAACACCATTACTTACATTCATCGTTAAAAACACAGAACTTTCCGTTCCTCCGCTGTTACTCATGCGCAGATATATTACAGTCGTTAATAATAACCTTCATTAATCGGACAATACCAATGATGTAAATGAGTGTTGCGTCAATTATGAAAGAGACAAGTTATTATCTGCCCTTTGTCATTACAGAGTTCTCTCCTTTCCGGTGCTCGATTCCAATAAATAGGACTCGATTCGATCTGTACCCGACCCGGATTCGAGTACCTGAGTACCTCCGTCCTCAGCCCTAGTTCATGATCATTTCGGGTCATTATCAGGGAACTGGCAGTTATTTAGTCCTAACTGCCAGTTCACCTGATGAAGGGACCTGGAATGGTCTCGAAACGTCGTGAGAGAAATTAAAAAAGAAGAAGTCTAATCCATAAAAATATCTTGGATATCAATGTACAACTTCTAAATGCCACTGAAAGACAGCCGTCATATAGCTGGTATATTCCTGAGTGAGGCGTTAAACAGCAAACAAAACAATTCGTGGACCAGAATTTAATACGTGCAATTGTATGTCACATAAAATCTGGCACACACGTCGCACGCTGAGACCCAAACATAACACAGTACAGAATATTATAGTACTTGACATTCTGCAGGTTAGGAGTTGGTGAAAGATAACTGTTCCCGAAAATGCTTGAAAACAATTTGTTCCCAGGTGAATAAGATAAAATAACATACGAATTACGTGTAGTTCATTCATGCAGGCCAGATATATACCACAATAACAGAGGGTTGAAGCTATTTCTTACCTTTGAATAACGATTTCACAAATGAAACAAGGCACAATGACTCAGACCTTTAAACATGTATCTGGTCACGAGACAGTCATTATCAGATTGCAAGTTGTCCTTCCCAAAGATGACGTCCACGTGACCACATGGTGCAAAAGTTGGTGAACCATGTGCAAAATTTTTCCATATTTCGTATCATATTCAAATTTCTATCACCACACGAAGGAACAGTATTTCCCAAATGTATTTGCGCTGGGGAAAGAACGTTTAATAACAATAATACGAAATGTTGGGGTACAAGGATCAACTTCTTGTGCAAAAAATGGTCTTAGAAGAGGCTAAAACATATCACCGCAACCTCTCCATGTGCTGGATTGACTACAAAAAGGCGACTCTGTCCCTCATGAATGGATTTTGAAGTCTCTTCATTGTATTGACCTACCTGAGCGACTACTTGATTTACTCAAGTCTTTAATGAGTTGCTGGTCGACTCAACTTGAGATGTACTTTTAAGGGCAGGTGCACACTTCAGAATCTATTCCAATCAGAACGGATATATTCCAGGGGCACTCCTTCAGTCCTTTGCTCAATGAAGAGTTGGGTTACCATCCCGTACCCCCTCAGCACAGATCCCAAACCCCGCTTACTCATCTTCTTAACATGGATGACATCAAGCTCCTTGCCAAAGGAGATACCAATTTGAATGCGCAGGTTCTCATGTCGAGTCCTTTTCTAATGACATTGGCAGGGCATTTGGACTCGACAAATGTAATACTCTTCATTTAAAACGTGGCTAGGTAATTAATGATGGATCGGTCAAGTTACAAGTGGGAGGTGTTATTGAGCATTCTGTGGAAGACCAAGCCGACACCTATCTTAGGATGCAAGTTCGAGACAAGCTCCAGAATGCCCAGATTCAAGACAAACTTAGGGCCGAATAAAACTCGCTTTAAAAAATCTGGAGCTCAGAGCTAAATGCTTGAAATAAGGTCAAAGCCACCAATACTTTTGTTGTGTCAGTCCTTTCCTATTCCTTTGGAGTAGTTGATTGGACAAAACAATCAATTCCAGAGGATGGGATTTGGTTAAAGTTGAGGCTATTCATGGTAGAATTTTAATGTGTACTTTTGCACGCACGCACGCACGCACGCACGCACGCACGCACGCACGCACGCACGCACACACACACACACACATATTTATTGGATGATCCTCTGGTGATGCATGTCAAGACTCATTATGAAAGCAGGGAATTCCAAAGATGTTTTAAGCGTGCCAAGGTCGTTGGACAAAATCTGAAATTTGAGGTTGAGTTTGTTAATGGCAATGTACTGCTGGACGGTACAGCGATGGGAGTAAACCAGGTGAAGTCCTTCACCAAGTCTGCCCAGAGTCGGTCACTTGTGGAGAAACATTCTGAGAAACCATTGCATCGTATGTACATGCAGTGTGTGGAAAAGAACACCAATCCAACCGACTCCTTCGCCTGGATGAAGTCGGCTCGTCTTAAATTTGGAACAGAGGGCTTTCTTTTTGTTCTCGGTGCCCTTGGTTTGGTACCTCCTGATCTCTTGGTGCAGATCAGGAGAGCGCCCAGGTTCTCCAAAGGGAGCACAGCCCTTCTGACACTCTGGGTACTGCAGAAGGCTGCAGTGTTGGAGAGCCTTCGTATTGTCCGAAAAGTTCTTGGTGGGTTCGACTAGGAAGCTTTTCCCGGATGAAGTCCCATTCGCTGTCTGGGCTGCGTGTGGAGGGTGCAAGGGCCCTAAGCTGATGATGAGCCTTACCAGCCTGACTGTGCCAGGATCACTAGGACTCTCTCTGCTGCATAATATATTTTAATCTGTAAAACATAATAATAAGTGGATTTTATGTTTTACAGATTAAGATGAAAATTGCAACAGAGAGGTTTCGGGTGATCCTGGCACAGTCCCACCAAGAACTTTCCGGAGAATATGTAGACTCACCAACACTGCAGCCTTCTGAACTATCCTGAGTTCCCGGTTGAGAAAGTGGTGTGTTTTTAAGATGGTTTGGCCAAGATATTATTGGTCCTGATCTGGGCCTTCCCCTGGGGTAGATCCCAGTATGATTGGTTTCATTATCAGAAGAAGGCTCCTCGTGGTTGGTGCTGGACCCTTGTGTACCCGGGGGTATATTTTGTCCACCAACCCGTTTGCTGTGGGTTGCGCCCCTGTGTCGGTGGAGGACGGGAGTCTGGTGGTTGAGGGCACTGGGAGCCTGGAACCGTATTCCTTTTGCCCAACACACTACTTCGCCCCTTACTTCACCTAGACGGGTGGTAGAACTGGCCCGGTTCTATCAATCGGCTGGTCACGTCGTGCCCTGTTCATGGAAACATTCCAATTTATATCAATGTACATTTATATAATGTTGATATTGAATGTTGTATTTCACAATTGAAATTATTTTATCTATTTGCCTAGAGTCCTGTGCCAGAAGGCGGAGGCTCATGGGCCAATCTGGTGATAATGACCTCCAAATGATGTATGTCTCCAACTTCTTGTCACGGGCCGAACCAGTCTGACATTGGATTGGTAGATAAATGCAGCCATTTGTGTTGTTTTCTCTGAGTATAACACCCCTGTATCCCTGGTGTCAGCATCTTGGATATCCGGTGCATATTGACACTGTCCTTGTTGACACTCCATGGTGGGTGGGGAGCAGGGTGCTGAAGCATATTCTTTCCATTATGACCACACAACTGAAAAAAGAGACGAATCGACAATGTTGATGAATCGTTGAGAACTGTTCCCTCAAATGCTGATTCCTGGGCTCGTTTCCTGGTGATAGAGGCTACTGATTTCCTTCCGATCAAACTAAATCCTTTCGCTATTTCCAAGGCTGTTTCTGGAATTTGTGGGGAC